GAACATTCATCTCTTCATAAAATCGGTTCCCACCCTGCACTTACCACTAAGTTCTTGTCACCCTACAAACATACTGAAGTGTCAAATTTTCATAGCTTTAACACCGAACTGATTTCTGCGTCGGGGTTCTTTTTCAAAGATGGATCTTGGTTTCTCTAGCCACTTATCAGCTCTTACCAGTTGTTAGCAGATCGACCCCGTCACATCCCACATGTCACATGTCTTCTCACCACCTACCATAGGTGTTCTCACCCTACCGCCTGTACTCTTACCAAATTTTAACGCTCTAGGTTCACGGGTACAGGAGTTATGATTTTCCCGTTCCAAGATCTAATTTCTCAAAACGCCCGCCCTCTGTGTCAGGAGCCGGTCCTGTCACACACCACAAGTGTTCCCATCCGTCGCCTGTGCTCCTACCAAGTTGAACGTCCACGGGGACAACAGTTATGAATTTCCGTGCAAACAGACGGACAACAGACGCGAACGCTTTATATATAGTAAGGAGCCTTCATTGCGTACTTAACTGGGTGAAAAAGCCAGAAATCATTCATGCAGAAAAAACTGATCAGTTATAATCAAGCAGGAATTATTCTCAACATATGTAAAGCGCTCGCGTCCGTCTGTTTGCACGGAAATTTGATTTCATCTGATAAAGTACCTGCAGAAGTTCTAAGCCTACGAGCGGCCGTGGACATGCAATGCATGCATAAGCATGCATGGCCCAGCTGATTCAATAGAACCCATCCGAAATCGCTGAATCTGTATATTTCGCTATTCTTACCATTCATTAACAACATAACAAAAGGCAGCAGGTATTGGTTTGTAAAGAGAAATGGAGTGTGTGGAGGCTCATTGCCATCGATGAACTATACTTTACGTCATTACGTTGACTTTGTAATTCAAGAGGGATCATGTTCAGTGTTCACGGCTATCTATTTCTTAGCCATCACATAGATATAACCTTATGAAAATCGGTGTGGTAAACTCAGAAATAGACGAGAAACGGCGCTGAGTTCTTCGATTGATCACGAGTATGATCCACAATCCTTTAGCAGTTTTTTTTTTCACAACAAAGCATTAGTAAGTAATAGATCGATACATAATTACTGCGGATTTTTCGCGGCTTCTTTCTTCTCGACAGAATTTGACTTTTGAAGCCGGAATTTTCGTGAAAAAAATCTTTCGTTTTCCTCAACAGAAATGCGTCTAGAGAGTCATCTTCGTGCCCTCCACATTATGCTCTGCTACATCGAGAAAGGTTGGAATGTGGCAGAGCCATTTTGCGATCTGAACGAACTTTCCGGCGCTGGAACAGTCAGCCGAAGCCGAGTAATGAATGGGATCAGTCCCTAAATTCGCCATATTTACCGACAGAAACTCTTGTGGATTCACGTCAACCATTTGTCGAGAAAATGGCTAACATCAGAATTTGCGACAGAATAGATGACTTGATGGCCTATGTCAACCGTGGATTGCCTCGAAAAATCCGAAACTATTCCCCTGTTTAACTGTGCTTGACGTAGATGGTGGATATGTTCCGGGGTAATTTTTCGAAAATGTCTTTGCTAAATATTCTTATCGTTTTTCTATACAAAATTGTTGAAAGAAATCCGCAATAATTATGCATTAACCTAATACATGAACTCTCTAAAACGCTGAGTCATGATCTTTGTTGCAATAGATAAGGAACCGCTAAAAAACTTCCCGAGCACTGATGGCTTTCCATTGATAACCACTACCAAAGGAAACTTGAGGATACTGTGCAAGTACGGTAGAAAACGTTGCAGAGAATGGTTTGTGATTGAATTGAAAATTCAATTTGAAAGATTTGAAAAACAGAATTTTCTTATTCGAAAGTTCATAGGGCTCGCTGTAAAGCGCTAGGGAAAGCGTTAAGACTTAACACGTTGACGAAGAGCCTATTTTTTCGGGACTGTCACGTGAGACTTGGCAGTTTCCATCTTGGGAATTTGTTAATTCTTGAAAAATGAAATTTCAGAAAATGAGTGAATACACTCGAAAACTTTCGAAACCAGAATGGCACTGAAAATATTCTGCAAACCATCTAACAGTATTTGAATTTTGCCAAGCATTTCAAATTTGGTGGTGAGCGGGGTATAACAATAGGAACTCTGAGAGTATAGTCATCTTTACAAGTATTCTTGTCATCATGAGTGTCCCGCATTCCGAAATCCCAAAGTTCAACGAAGGTTTCGACAATCTGATGCTTGACAGCGGTAATGAAACTCACGGTGGTTTGGATGGCGTTGAAATGGCATCTGCGGTTGTTCCTGACAGTGATAATTCCAAAATTGGAAACTCAGATGATGACCATGGCGAAGGAACCCAGATAGTATGGGTGAGCGCTGCTCAAAGGCATGACAGATGGATCTTTCCTGAGCCCGTTGGATCCAGCCCAGAGATGAATAGCTCTGTGGCGCCTCTCGAACTTTATGACTATTTTTGGTGGAGAGCATGCTATGGTATCTGACCAGACCAACGTCTACGGACAGCAAAAACATCACGATTGGACTCCCGTCGGCGCAGGTGAGCTGAGAAGATTCTTTGGCCTTTGCTCACAGATATCCCACTTTCATTTCATGAACAGTGGAATTTTTGGTCGTTAAAATCTCAGAAATTGGCTTGAAATGAACCCTCAACCGCTGGACGTTTCATTACCAGAATTCGATCTGAAGAGATCCGAAGGCGTCTCCACTTTGATTGTTAGTTGTTAATAAAAATGAAATATTAATTTCTGAAATTATTTGGTTGCTTGCCGGTGGTATTTAAAGGCACAGTTCACGATAAAAATGGTTTCGGAGATTTGCACATGGTATGAATGCGGGGCCCCCTCTGATACCATATGTACCGGGATGAAGTCGGACTACGTTCTGGATAGGGCACAATAAGGGGCCGGAGAGTGAAGCACGGTCAGAAACTGCCCCTCGCAGGGCTGACTACGAAATTAATTGCCGTTCACCACTTTCGCATTGGGGCAACACTAGTGATAAATCAATAAGCTAATCAACCGCCTCCTACCGGTAATAGTATTCGGCTGTATTCCCACTTTTCGACTATTATTCTGCTCTATTCTGTTGTATTTAATTATTTTCAACGTACCGCTGAATTGATTCTGCACAATAATTCAGCCTAATATCAACAGAAGAATAAGTAATATTAACGAGAAAGCCAAAATCAGCTGTTTAGGCGTGTTGTTTGCAATTGCAGACATTACGTCGCATTCGTCTACTCGCCCGAAAATTCCCTTAAGCACCGTTTTTTCGCCGTGTAACTCGTCCAACCCCCTTTTCTCTCCTTTTTTGGAGCTTTGTATTTCTTTTTATTCATCGCTTTTTGCATTTTTTGCTTTTCCTTTGTACTACTGTAGGCCGTACCTGTCATTTTTCGTCAAAAACTTAATACCCCAAAATTATCGTGAACTGTGCCTTTAAGAACTCTGAGCCTAAACTGGATTTGATTGGGATAATGTGCTGTCGCGCACCATTGAGCGACGAGCGACATCGCCCCACGAGGCAGAACGGCTGTAGCGCAACATTGTCGTCAACGTGTTAAACATGTGAAGATGGTCTGGGGTTTAGTGATCTAAAATAAAACTAGTTTGTACCAAGTCGTGAGGGAACTTACTAGACGTAGTAATAGTTAATGGACGAGATGAGGTTGTACTGTGTCCCCTGTAGTTGGCTACAGGTCCCTTGAATGGTTGTGCAGGGTAACGGAACTTCTCCTCTATCGCGGCATTCTCCCTTGCGGCATGCGGCGAATGTCACTGCAATTACCGTACTCACCCCGCCTCCCGAAAATCGATAGGACGCAATATTTTTCCTTGACTGGCTTGCTTTTNTTTTCATTGGATTTTATCGTTTTTTCTTCTGTTTCTTTTTAGTTTTCATGTTTATTAGACTTGATTAATTAAAATGACTCCTCTTATATAAACGACGATCAATACCGCATTGAAATTGAAGGAAGCGACCAGCCAATTCAAATAATTAAAGGACTCCCTACCTCACAAATTGCGCGCTCCAATCTTTCATCGCAATCCTGCGATAGGCGGCGGGGGGTGTGCGACGCCGTGTTAGGGGAGAAGATCCCGGACCCGGTTGTGCAAGCAATGCTCTACGGCAGCGAGTGCTGACCCATGTACTGAGACTGAAAGAAAATCCAAGTTTCAATGCTGAACTGATTGTGAGCTTGTTTGATAGATGGGGCTGCATCAGGGTAGAGTCTTCACACACCTCAGCACCTATCCACAGTATAACAGGGGTCATCATCTTCGTTGAGGATACAACGCTTTCCATGTTATGGGCTGATGCTGGGATCGTCACAGAATTGTCTGGTATGAAAAACACTAAAGTTTTTTTAAAGACCAGTGCAGCGAAGGCCAGTGCAGCGGCCACGAGAAGACTCTGAAAAAGCTAAGGGGCTGTGAAGGTGACCATTTAGGGTTTCTCAGAAGCCAGGGCTACAGCATGTCTCAACGTAGAAGTGAATTTTTCCAGTAAGAGAAGTAATAGAGTAGTTAGAATGACCTGTGAAGGTCTTCCCGTTCGTATTATCTCTGTGCGAAATTCCGTTGAAAGCTGGGCATTTTTCTTTTTCTTGATTGTATGAGGGGCTAGCTAAACTGGCAGTATCACTGCACTGTTGCAACCACTCAGCAACGCAGCATTGCCCAACCCCGATTTTCATGACCAGTTGCTTGACTAGCATTGTACTCTACCTTACATAATTGGTGTATTTCTCGTTTATTCCTCTGTTTTAATTATATACGTTTATTCATACGCAAACCAACGATTTGAGGCAAGAAGGTTGTATTCTTTACTAGTATAGAAAAGCTCTTTCGAGGAGTACCACTGCCGTGATGGACGAAATCAGCACGTTAGTTGCCATGGACCCTGTAAGAGCAGTGATTTGTGCCCTGCTGGAATTCACATTCGCAGTCACTGGTTTAGTTCTACTATTTTAGGAAAGCTTCTCATACATTAAACAGCAGTAGTTATGGTGATAATTTTGATCTTACCGGCAGATTTCTTTTTCGGGTCCTTCTCGGCGGAAACCCGAGGATCTGCTTTCTCAGAGTTCGTTTCAATTGGGGCGATTGGAGCAAGTGGAGAGCTGGTGTCAATTTTATCCGTCGGTTCACGCTTCTCAATGTCCTCATGAACGTCTGGATCGCCTTTCTTCAGCCAGCTCTTGAGAATTCTTTTGATTGCTTCACGGGTGTCAGTAAGGGCTTTTACGTCGCCCTCCCGAGCAGGATACATTTCTGCACAATGTGCGGTTCCTAAACTTGCAAATAATTTGGTTAGTAGGGCAATTTTACCTCTAACAAATACCACAGCATTACCAGGGGCTCATATATGTACATAATGAATTCATTTTTGCTTTCTCATTTATAACTCTTTAACTAGCTGTTTAAAAAGAGAGACTTCACCGGAGAATGAATGATCGAAAGCTAACGATCACGCGACAAAAACTTCCAAAGTTAACTAAACTGAAACACAAACATAAAAAAGAGCAAGAATGCTCGAAGGAACATGATGGGACGGACTGCATAGTTAGGCATATTGAGTAGGGGTGGGTTGTCATTCACGACAAAGTCATTGATACGGTGAACGATAGTAGAGACAGCTTGAGCAGAATGCTTGACCAAGCAGTCAAATCAAGACCTCGTTATTCCCATATATTGTATACACAGCAGGGACCATTTCGCTCCTGGCCCGCTGAATTGAACTAGAAGACTTTCCAACTCATTTAGAATTGGGCGACTTGCAAAGGAATTTAAATTATAGCAATAAGTGGCCAGAATAGAAGAGACGTTCTAGATCACATTACAATTTGCTAATTAATCTTCCGAATTGAGATTCTCTAGAGATCTGATGGAAGCTTGAGGTCTAGCTTTACACGGTAAACGTCAGCGCCCAGGAAATTCGTTGCGTGAATAAAAGTGTCGCATTAATAAGAGCTTCATTTTCTTCCTCCTCGTCTGATCATGGCATTTCATCATTGCTGTTTCCAGCTGCATTCGAGATTACTCAATTCTTTGATCTAATTAATGGAAATGTCGACTTAACGTTGTTCAATCCATAGGAGTTTCCAGAAAATCCATTTTTCTTCAGAGCTAACTGAGGAAATACGATCCCGTCTGATCCACCGACCTTCAATAATGAAGCATTTGTCAGAATTATTGCATGTGACGTTGCCCAAAGCTTTCCATGGGTCGAGGGAGCCGTGTGTCATTACCACTTTCGTTGCCTAAAAAATAAATTCTCTCTTTCGTTTTCTTGCAGATTCTCCAACAACCGTGATTTACCTTGTAGTTGTGTCGGCCACCATACCGATTATTCACATCAATCGTAGCTTGTCGATTGTTTTCCGTTGCGTACTCTAACTTCTCACCGAACACGTCTGAGCATAGTTGTGTATAGAAGCTGAAAAAACTCCGATTCATACGCAGATATGTGGCAGCAGCTTCCGTCGTACAAGTGTACCCCAAGAGCAATACTGGTTGGGCTAGATGAAATCATGTTTTCGTAATCGCTATGCATGAACCGGTGCTGTGCTCCGTATCAGTATTGATACGCTGCATTACGGTATGCAAGCGTCTGTGACGCAGGTCCCAGGGACGATTTTTGAGCATTGGAAATGTCTCGCTTTGCTGAAGACGCCTCTAGTCCTGGCAATTCTTTAGGCGGCTTGAATATGATTTTGGTTTTGGATATAGTCAACGCATTTGTATCGACCATTTTTGAAGCGCTTTGCTATCATAGGAAAAAGCTCTGTTGTTAAAAAGTTCTACTAAGTAGTTACTTTAATGGTAGCAGGTTGCCGAAAAGAGTGTAGCCGGCGTCCGTCGTTTGGTAGAAACCGAATTCGGTGCATGTCTGCCATAGCCAGAGCGCTGCAGCTGCATCATCTTAAATAGAGAACATTATTGAATTGAAGGGTTCAGTTTCATTAATGCAAAATGTAGGCAGGAAAATAGAATTTTACAAAATTACAGATACCTATCACCAGTTATTGGCCGTTGATGGCCTCAATACAGAAATAGGGATCCATGAGCTCGAAACCTATATCAGAAAGTAGGANNNNGAGGGGATGTTTTACGTCGTGAAGATAATGCAAGTAAGATGACACGTAGTTTCTTTATTTACTATCAAAAGGTCTCAAAAAGTACAACTATTCATCACTTCTATTATGCTAATAAGTGTTCATAATTTGGAAAGTTTGCGTTGAGTACAATGGGAAAATCGAGGGGGCATATGTTTTTTTCTAACTAGAATGCTGAAGGCTCCACAGAGTCTTTTCTCCTGGCTCTTTTATACCCGAAATCCTCCGCTCGCTGAAGGCGGTGATTTTCTAGTTTTTATACGTATTCGCTTCTGAATACTGCTGTTCCTATAAGACATTTTCAATCCTTTCTCACCAGTGATACTGTCTAAATTTTGTCCCCCATTTAGTCTCAGTGAGCCCTATTTTGGTGCTGTTCAACGACCACGATCCAATGAGAGCTTTAGGCTTTTATTAGACCTCATCAGTGTGCAGTTTGGATGGAAAATTAGTTGTCAAAACAGTTGATATTAATAAATAGTTGAACTTCCTTTGATGTAGACGTTTTAATTCCTTCAGCCAATTAGATTTGGAACGGTACATTGGAACCATTGAATTGGGTAGCTTCAGTTCTCCCAGGCTATTTCTCAGTAACTGAACACCCTGGTTTAACGGTTGCAACATTTACTATTAGCAGCAAGCACATGATACAAAAGGGGAGCTCAAGCTATAAGCTAAAGAATTGCGGCTTAAACTCCTTTCCACTCTACCATGGCTGCAACTCACGTAACTGGTAGCTGCATGTGATTTGCTCCTATATTTGATAATATAAACAACCCATGGATCTCCTTCACTGAGGGTTTTCTTCCATTGAAGGATCCCCAGTCGGTTAGTGACGAGGCTACACTGTGCGTCCCCAGGTGAAGGATAGGGGAATTAATCGCCGACCAAAAGTCACCGGTACTTGCCCAGAGAGCAGGTGGATCCAGGGGATGGACTTCTTGATTCTGCTGTGCTGGTCGATATACCTTCTGTCTCGCAGGCGTACCACGCCCACGTGTGTGGAGAGTCTGTGGGTGCAGTTGTTATTCTGCCCATCGATCCAGCCAAAAAGTTTGCATTCGAGTGACTGGGAAGTATCTGGTAGGCGATTCCGGGCAGTCACCAAAAACGAAGCCTTTCGTCCACTTTCCTCTTTTCAGGATAGCCTGGCAAGCCTCCGGAGTCAGCCTAGCCCCCACGTCAGAGCCTGGCAAGCTGCCCGTTAAATATCTACCCGCCAAAAACAGTAATAGAAATGGGCGTCATTCCCCTGAACTGGGGGAGCTCCCAATACGGCAGCGTTGGGAAGGACCGTTTTGGAGGGCCTGCCAAAATCTCAGAGGCTGCCCAAAAGTAGAAGTACTAAGATGGCGATCTGTACTTTCAACGCACGGACGCTTGCATCGGAAACGTGTATGGATGATCTGATGACGCAAGCTAGGAATATCAAGTACGACGTGATCGGACTGACCGAGACGAGAAGGCATCGCCCGCTGCACGCTGTACTTGAGACTGGAGAAGAAGTGTCCCTTGGAACATTCGACAGCAAAGGCGTTGGCGGCCTAGGTGTCCTCGTTAATATTCACTTGGCCATGAACATCGATTCGTACGAAAGCTTAACAACCCGAATAGGAAGTTTGCGATTCAGAAGATGTGGCTCAACTCTAGCTCTAACCATCTTCGTTGCCTAGGCACCAACATCGAGCTACGAAGAAGAGGTGGAAGCGTTTTATATGGATCTGGAAAGTCTCTACAGGGAAGAACACACTTTCTTCAAGGGCATCGTCGGTGAATTGAACGCCAAGATTGGCCCCAAAAGATCGGCTGAAGAGCTCTACATCATGACCCTTGGAATGGACTGTAATGAGCATGGTGAAAGCCTTTCCGAGTTCCTCGTGAGGAATTGAAGATAAAATTTATCCTCAATCACCATTTATATCAGATCAGTTCAGCGCAGTTATTCGGCAATATCTGAAAAGAGCGGATCTGGTCAACGACGTTTTCTTGGTTAACACACCAAGAGAAAACATTAAACACCAGTTGGTTAGAAATCGTCTCTATGGCCGGATTTGCATCATGGATAATTGCGTGATCTGCCTGTTCAAAAAGTAGGAGACTGTGCACAAAGAACGGTGCTTCATCAGCTTCAGTGTTTGACATGTGATGCTTGCTATTTTGGAGAAACTGGGCGACAGTTATGAGTTCATGTGAAAGAACATTTAGTTGGCAAACAAAGGTATTGCTCGGTTGCACCGCTCGGGAAACACAGAAGAGAAGGTCATGCTGCTAGTGACTTTAACGTTAAATGCATGGTTTTGGCCTACGAGGACCGTATTGGTGCCAGAAAAACTCTAGATGCTTTCTGGATGATACATCGAAATCCAAGCATGAATAACAAGAACGAGGGCATCAACATAAGAGGTGAACTCTTGCCTTACATCCCTCTGTGTGAGCTCTGATAGTAGGGACTGATACGTGTCAAGTCACGATGCTATTAAAGGGTCGTGGTTGACCAGGCTTTCTCAATTGCTCTATCGTCTCTTGAGTTGAGCAATCGTTCGGTGTTGGTGGAATTGACGTGAGTGACTTGTTGGAATTTCTACTTAGTTGGGAGTTCATCGGTCTGAGTTGCAACTAGTTAAGAGCTGGACTACGTCAAGCGTGATAGGTAACACGCTGAAGTTCTAAAACGCTTTCAGGCCTTTGATAACGACGAGTTCGCCAAAACGTCAGGCAAATAAATGTCCCACCATTAAAAAACCTGCTTGGCACCGAAGAATTGACTACTTTTGGAATTCACTTGTCTTATCAGAGACTATTTAAATTGGGAATCGGGACTTACCAGGACTGTCTGCGAATTGAGCTTCGTACAACAGTTTGGTGAAGAACTCGTAGCCGTTGAATGTACCTTCAAACTCCTCGTTTCCCTGCAAACTGCATATAAACGTTATAAACGTCACTGAAACGCCCCTTCCAACATACATAAGTGGTAGGGTAGCAACTACTGATGTTGAGTTCTCGTTCAAAAACTTTGGATATCATTGCTCGAAAGCACCTGCGTGCTTTGTCCGTGCTCTCTACCCAATATGGATCGTTTTCAAATGAAGTCTTGTTGTTTCATCTAGAAAATCTTCTCTTAAGTCTATGATTTCCGCATCTAACTGTTTCGGTCCCGCATTATTGTTAGTGAAATGTGGGTCAAGCCCCAAAGCAACCAAGTAGTGGCAAATTCGTACAACGTATGAGGACAAACTAGAACCTCGGGTATGTTGAACTAGTAGAAAAATGTTGTGATCGAATAGAAACGGAAGCCAGCGAGATGTGGATAGCACGTGACATCGCGAGTAGCAATTTTCGGAAAAGCATACCGTGTAGAAATTCGTCATGTATTCATTGAAGGCGGCTATGCTCAGAATGGGTTTCCGTCCTTGTTCGGTCATAATATCGCACATCTCTTTGATGCCATAGCCGAATGCATATCCCTTAAGAAGAAGTTTCGAACTAGACAGTAATCATTGGGTCATTGCTCAACCCTTAATTTTATAACGTTGACAATTTATGGTGACATTAACACAAGCGGAACTGCGGCGGCCACGGAGACCACGCTCTTGCTCCTCGTCAGTATCTAACTACACTTACGAAACTCACACTAATTGTCTAAATACCTTAGTTGTCCAGTAGGAAAACGTCTGTGTAGCTCTGAGTTTCCCAATTATTCTCATTATTAGGTTGTAAGGGATGTTCTGGCCATTTTTACTGCTGACTTTCAAAAGATCGTAACTCATCTCAAAGTGAACATTTTCATTCAAATTGAGCCCCATTCGATTCTACACATTTTTTCCAGCAAAATGCAAGTCTGTTTTTCCCACTCTCATGAAGTCCAGAGATCTGGATTCCATGAACTCGAGAAAGGCAGCTTCCACGTCGCCTTAATTTTTGAATACTCGATCCTTTAAGAAGTTGTCCAGATGTTTGAATAAATGGTAGCCAGTTGGTGGCAGGTCTGGTGAGTAGGGTGGATGAGGGAGAGTCTCGATTCGCAGCTCGTTCAACTTTCGAAAGACAATTCGTGACACCTGCGGTGGCGCATTGTCGTGCAAGACCAGTGGCAGCTGACGAGTGCTGGCTGCATTTGCCCTAATTTCGGGCGCATCTCGTGAATTTGATCAAAATAGGAATGTGCGATGATGGTTTGGCCTGTGGGAAAAAACGCGTAGTAGATTAATCCATGGCTGGACCACCAAACTGTGATCATTGTCTTCTTGACGTGTAAACTTGGTTTTGGAAAGGTTTTTGGAGGCTCATCCACACCTAATCATTGAGCAGAACGCTTCCTGTCTAGGCGCTTCGATTGTTGCTGCTCCTTGATTTCGTGTAGCACGCACTTGTCAAGCTTCTACACCATTTCAAGCTGCTTGAGGTGGGCAGCGACGACTGTGTGGGAGACACTCATCTTCTTGGCAATCTCTCTCAAAGGTTGACGTCGATCTTCTTCGACTACTCTTAGCAAAACATCGTGATCAACTGACGTGATGAACACCAGAACTTCCCTTACAATCTAATATTTTGTCACTTTGGCACAATCTGAAGGGGGGAGGGGGACTATGATAAGGCGAAAAGCTCACTCGAACTTTGTGGACTTCCAGCAAGTAAGAAAAAATATCCGCGCAGGCTATCGAGTAAGATTCAGTCGCTCGAAGCATCACTAAAGCTGTACTCCCTAACAGTGGCTCTTTTCTTCATCGCTGTATCTGGTATACGAACGTTCGCAACTAAGCCAGCGTTTTGAGTGTAGATGCGAGATTTCACGGTGGATAAGTGTATTTAAGAATTGTAACTGTACTTGCTTACCCCTCTGTTATCTCCACTGTACTGGACAGCACCTGCAAACATTTCTAGAAGGTTTGAGATGAAGAACTGTTTATCGATTTCAAGTACGTCCGAGACATCGTCCCATGCAGGACTGAGCCTGGAAAAGTTTTTCGTATAGACTTTGAATCAACCACGTTAGTACATAGAAAAAGCGGACAAGGTATCTAGGAATGTGTATGTCTTGGCAGAGCTAATTCTCAACCGATCAGAACCAATTGACTTCTGTAATAAAAAATACTATTTACTTATGCTTCGATTCGATTCTGAGAAATGGGCTCGTCCGAGACCGAGAGCCTGCCGAACATTGTGATTGAAGGCACAGACTGTAACCTTATCCTCATATTACTGTGTGAAGATATAATAGTTTGGACACATCGAAACCCCTACATTACAACTATGTAGCTTTGATGTAATAGCTTCATGTGCAACTTTGGATGAGTTAGCTCCTAAAAACTCGGCTCGGCTTATTTGAATGGACTACTCTGTTAAATAGACGTAGAAACCCGATAGCAGAAATTCAGTGAAATTTTGAAAGCAATCCTACTCGGTGATAAAAAAAATTGCAAGGAGAATTTCAATATCGATTGAGAGGCATCTTACTTGAAAATTTGTGTTAGTTGCGCACGCCCTTTTCGTGTAAGCAATAGACCGCGTATGTCATCGAAGCCCTGAACAAGAAAACTTTTCCTTTTGGACCGACTCGGTTCCAGTATGGACCCATTTGACCACCGATGATGCCTGTTGGACTCTTACCGTACCTCTGCTATAGCATATGCACAATCCTCACTGTAGCCTCGGATTGATTTCTCTACCACTTGGTAGTACTCTGAAAACTTCTCATGGGTTAAGTGTGACTGAAATGCAGGTCGCTTCCGTACCGTGGAAGTCCAGCTTAGCTTCTAGGGGTGCCGAAGAGCCAATTGCTCCATCAACCAGCTCGGGGAACAGTTTACGCATCCACAGGGCCAATGATCCTATAAGTTTTGTGATATTAGAATCTGGAAGAGCTTGTTTTCTTACTTACAAATTTTTTAAACAATCTAGAACTAGCACGTCTCACATTTTCTCCTTTGTGCTTATTTAGCACGTTTTTTTTCATCACGAGAGCATTTCAGACCTAACCGATTGAGTTGTGCATGCTAAAGGTACTTGATCCAATTCACGAGAATAATACTTTTTTTCAAATCAAAAAAAAAGAAAAAAACCAACG